CTGCAGTTCAACTCTGTCGTATAGGGTCACTGAGAGTCGGCATCAACTCTGTGGCACAACGGTTTTGCTTTGAACCTGCGTGCATGTCCCACATCCACATGCAGCAGCTCAGGTTTGGTATTATGTTAAGGCAAAGTGAAGTGACATGAAAAGCATTTAATAAGCCATTTACATTCTAATTATCTAAAGGATGTCTTCATTAAGCAATAATATGCCCCAATTATTTTTCCTTTAAATTCTGGTCCCAATGACCACTGCAGTTATTATCATTATTACTATGCCACACATAGCCACAGTCTTATACAATGCTACATGTTTTTTCCTTACTTGAATTTTTTTAAATCATTTTATTAGGGGCTCATACATCTCTTATCACAATCCACACATACATCAAAGTGTGTAAAGCGTATTTGTACATTCATTGCCCTCATCATTCTCAAAACATCTGCTCTCCACTTAAGCCCCTGGCATTAGGTCCTCTTTTTTTCCCCTCCCTCCCCACTCCCCTCTCCCTCATGAATCCTTGATAATTTATAAATTATTTTTTTTTCATATCTTGGCCTGTCCGACATCTCCTCTCACCCACTTTTCTGTTGTCCGTCCCCCAGAGAGGTGAATTTTTATATTACAATAATTTTACGTGGCAAAACAATTATTGTTTCCTCCATATGACAGTTGACTCCGAGGCAGAACTAGGCCTTGAATCTCCTCAATCCTATGTCAACTTACATCTCTTGGGTTTGTTTGTAAGCAAACAAGCTTTATACAACGTTCAAGAATTTCATTCTGCTTTGCCATCCTTAAACAAAGAAAGATTATGCCGAGAGGAAAAGAGCTGACTAGTCAGCTCACACAGGGAGTTTAAAAAATGATGAGGGCTTCCAAATGGTCTGAGACTGTTTATAGAACGAAGCACATGGCAATACAAACCTTCTTTCAATTCCCCAACATAGAAAGTGTAAGGAGAGCAGAGAGAAATCACTCTGCAGAAAGTCAAACATGTCCTCAAATGAAGACAGATTAAAAAGCCTCTTATAGCGTGTGCCAACTGTAAGCGGCACAGCATAATGGTGCACAGTACGGGGAGTTGAGCAATTTCGAGCATAAATCCTAGCACGAATATCTGCGGCTTCCATCAGCTGACTTACCCTCTCCAAGGCTGCGCTACTCACATCCAGGAAGCCGCACCGACTTCAGAAGGTGATTCAATATTGGTGATGCACTTAGCGTAGAAGCTGGCACAAAGTCCTCAATTAATAACTAACCTTCTTTTGATAAAAAGGAAGGTGTCTTACACATGTGAGATGAGAGCCATGGACTCGTAAAATGTTTTATTTGAAAGGAGTTAATCTTCATACTACACAGGAAAGGGTAGGAACACACGAGATGTTAACTACACAGGAAAGAGTAGGAACACACGAGATGTTGACTGATGGGGGCTGCGTACGGCTAGGCTGCTTTTCAGAGTAGTTAACACTTGCATACAATACTTCTGATTCCCAGGCGCACGCCCCATTCACAGCAAATGCATTGTTTAGCAGCGAAGAGAGTATATATCATAACAAACAAAGCAAACTCGCTCCTATCGAATCAACTCCGACTCATAAAGGGCTCCGTGGGGATTCTGAGACTGTGAATCTTTACAGGAGTAGAGAGTCTCGTTTTTCTTCTGAGGAAGATGGTGGGATTGAACTGGTGACCTTGTGATTAGCAGCCCAACAATTAACCTGCTGCACCATCAGGGCTGCATACATTTTGGAAGGGGTGCATAAACAGAAAAGGGGCATTTATTGCCACTGCCAGAACTGCTAAGTCATCCCCTTCCATGGCCTGGTCTTGCCTGGTCGTGACTGTCATCAGGGTCTCAGATGACCATCAAGGGAAATTGTTACTGGATGTTAATCAAGCTAGGCCCTCTCCTCCATATATATATATATATAAAGCCTGAATGTCAAAGTATTTATTTACAACAAGAAATACAACTACCAGGCAAATTTGGAACTACGTTAGGTCTTTGTAGGAAGCTTCTACAGGAAGCAAAATTAATAGATTAATTCCTTTGTGAAGGAATTAAGCCCTAGGCTTGGGGCAGCTACACCCCAAGATCACGGCCCTAACTGCACTTGAAATGAACTGTGCTGCCAGCACAGGTATCCCTGGGATGCTGTTGACAAAAATTCTACGGTGAATGTTAAAAATGTTTATAAAACGTACATCCTCAGCAGCGCCTGCTACCATACTACCAAACACAACTCCAGAGTGGTTGCCCAGATGCCCACCCCAACAGATAGGCCCAGTAAGTTGTTACATGATGAACCCATGGCTGTTATGCTGTCCTTGAGTTGGTTGGGACTTCAGTTACAAGATTGTTGTTAGCGTCTGGGGTCTTAAAAGCTTGAAGGTAAACAAGCGGCCATC